TCAAGGCAATCATCAGGTCATTTAGTTAGTGTCAGTTCTGGCAAGCTGGAGGGAAGGATAGTTTGGCAAGGGTTTATATTTAGAGGTAAATAATATAATTTTTATTTTGATACCTGGGCCATCATTTTTCTGATAATTTTGTTTTGAATAAAATTTTAGAGCGCATTACTTCATTTATACCTCTGAATTCTAGATGTCAATTGCATATTGAGTAAATTATTCAGGAATATATCTCTAGGTGAAATGCCAGCAAGAAAGTACTTGAAATCATATAGATGAAAAAGATTTTTTTCTCAGTCTGTTGCATCAATGGAGAGATACCAGCCCATCCAAAATATAAAAGGTAAATCTGCCTCCACACATCAAAAGCAGAGTTCAAAAGAAGATCGGCTATTTGCTACTAACCCAAACGATGTAGCTGGCAAAAACAGATACACTTTCGATATGCAATGCGGAAGAAGAGATTGTGTTGCAGGTCTGCCTGCTTTGTTCCAACAACATCAATTGGACAAATTGATGTTCTCCATAGAGACCTTTCCTTATTTATGTCTTTAGACCATTGTGTTTCCAACAGCACTATGTCTGAGCTGCTCAGACATCCTTGTGGAAACCACAAGTCTATTCTCTGCCAATTGGCTGTTTCTCACCTCCAGAGTGTTACTAGCCATATGTTAGCCCCATGAGTATGGTACTGTTGACCTTCCTTAATCTATTTCTGTGTTCAGAAATCTGGCCTCCACCTCATCCCCTAGGACTCAGTAGGTCCCAAGGAGCATAGTATGTAGAAATGGTCATCCTAAGGATATCGCTCTATGGAGGAAGTGCAGTGCTTTAGAAGGAACTGAAAGCAAAGACTGACATGTGTGGAGATATCAGCTTGGCTTCATCTGACTTTGTCTCTGGTCAGAACTGGCACACAATGCCTGTCTTTCCATGCTGAGCCATGTGAGCCAGCAGGAGGCCCTGATAAATCCTGCTCTTTGGTGTCCCTGGAGCCATCTCTTCTCTAGGCTGAACAGCCCCAACTCTTTCAGCCTGTCTTCATAGGAGAGGTGCTCTAGCCCTCTGACCATCTTCGTGGCCTTCTCTGGACTAGCTCCAACAGGTCACTGTCCTTCTGTTGGGGTCCCCAGAGCTGGGCACAGCACTCAAGGTGGAGTCTCATAAGAGCTTCTTTTGATGCAGCCCAGGATGCCACTGGCCTTCTGAACTGCAAGCACACTTTGCCAGTTCACATTCAGTTTTTCAGCCAACAATACGCCCAAGTCCTTCTCCTCAGGGCTGCTCTCAATGCACTCACTGATACTGTATCCATGTTCAGGATTGCCCTTAGCCTTGTTTAACCTCATGAGGTTGCATCAAGCCTGTCCAGGTCTCTCTGGATGGCATTCCTTCCCTCCAGCGTGTCAGCTGCACCCAACAACTTGTTGGCATCAGCAAACTTGCCTAGGGTTCACTCAATCCCACTGTCCATATCACTGTCAAAGATGTTAAATAATACTAGTCCCACTACAGACACCTGAGGGACACCCACCACTTTGTACATGGTGGTCTCCACCAGACACCTGGTTTCTCCACACAGTCATTGAGCTACACCCTATGAGTGCAACCATCCAGCCAATTTCTTATTCAGTGAGTCCACCCATCAAATCCATGTCTTCCACTTGAGATACAAAGATGTTTTGTGAGACAGTATCAAGCATTTTCCACCAGTCCGGGTAGATTACATCAGTCACCATTCCCTCATCCACCACTGCTGTAACCCTGCTGTAGAAGGCCACCAAATTTTTCAAACATGATTTGCCTTTAGTGAAGCCGTGCTGGCTGTCCAACACAGTCCTAACTGTGGTCCACAACAATCCAGATGTACTGACATCAACTCTACCAGATAGCTGACTATGTCTCCTAAGTCTACAATGAAATCCCCTAATATTACCTAGTCACTACCAAGACTGGAAATGCTCAGGAGATCAGATTTCCTGTATCACTGTCATCTAGTTTAATAACCACTGCATTTTCTGAGCATAGGAAGATATCTTGATTTTGAGATCACAGTCTTAAGTAACCCTATAATGTCAATTTCCAAATTGCCAAATGCTTTCTGTTCTGTAAAACAGAAATACAGTCTCCTCCTCCGATAAGTGCTTGATAGTGACTCTGTCGGAGATCAAGGGAACTTCTCCGGGTTTTTCTCAAGTGTTACAAGATGCATCTAGTATGGCTTGGAAGGCCATGGTGTCTGCTACATTAACAAGATCTTCCAGTCTTCTTATTTACAGGAGATGAAATCTCTATTTGAAGACATGCCTTTTCGTGGCATTATTTTTTGTAGTTTAAACTCAGTATATTCCTAAATTATGTGTTTAAACTCAGACTGAGTGGCTGCTTTGGGGAATGAACCCCAGTCCCATAGCTCTTAGCAACAGTTTAGACTTCTTAATCACTCCAGATGGTTTCAACATCAAATGGCTTCCTCCAGAAAATGTTTCTTTGCCTCAGACATCATCTTTCTGCTAGTGCTCATACAGTCACACCCAAGAACCGCAGTCTAAGCATTTTGTGTTATCTGCTCTTATTCACTACCACATCATAGAATCACAAAATGGGTCAGGTTGGCAGGGTCCACAGTGGGTGATCTAATCCAACCTCCCTGCTTAAGCAGGGTCATCCTAGAACACATTGCACAGGATTGCATCCAGATGGTTCTTGAGGTATCCCCAGTGAGGGAGTCTCTACAACCTCTCTGGCCAATCTGTTCCAGTGTGTGATCACCTACACAGTCAAGAAGTTCTTCCTCATATTCAGGTGGAACTTCCTGTGCATCAGTTTTTGCCCATTGCTTCTTGTCCTATTGCTTGGCACCACTGACAAGAGCCTGGCTCCATCCTTTTGACGTCCTCCCTTCAAATACTGATATACATTGATAAGGTCCCCTCTCAGTCATCCCCTCTCCCTTTGAGAATAAGTTGACTTCACCCTTCAAAACACGTCCACGTATATTTTAGCTCTCACCACAGTAGTCAAAGCTTCAAGCGTAACTTGCTTCTCTGCTCCCCCTCAACAGGGGGGATACATGAGTACCTCATTCTTGGGCCAGTTAATTCATGAAATGAAAAACAACCTATCTCTAATGAATGTGTTTTTTATGCAGCTTTCCTCATATCACTGAAAGGATATAAGGAAGTGCTTAGTCCCTCACTTAGACCTGAACTTGTTATCTAAGGCTCTTTTGGGCTCTTCTGTGCTATAAATAAGGCTGTCTTTCCTGATAAATACCTCTTGTGCTAAGAAACTGGACTTTATGGCTGTTCTACTTCGAACAATGTTCTTGCAGGAGAGGGTGACCCTCCAAGCAGCTTAGGTTCTCACTTGTGTTGCGGCCAAGACTCTTAACTAGGAAACCCACTTGCCTGTTTTTTTGGTTGGTTGTTCTTGCTTTTTTTCCTCCAAGCTGCTACCTCTGTCATTGAGGCTTTTTTTCACTACCAACGTCAAGAGGAATCTTTCTTTTTATACTGACAGCACCAAGTCCTGGAGACTCTTACCAAGTCTGATATTTTAGTTCTCTCAATGCACTGCCCATCCAAGTGAATATAGCCAGCTTCCATGCAGCCAAGGTGGTAACAGATGACAGCATGCGCTGTCCCCTAGACCTTATGCAGAATAAATTGAATTACTGGGAGGTGTGTCTTTCCCTGACAGTTGCCCCAGTGATAGCCAGAGATTTTGGCAAACCTGTGCCTGATGCTACGCTGTACAGTTCAAGCATGCCATTAACATTTACTAGAGAGTTCTTGTACTTGCTGTTTTCATGAACATCTCCAAGACACACACAGGTAAATACGAACATGTACTAATTGCTGTCTGGTGTTCCCATCCATGTGAATGTACATGGAGCTATGGCTTAAAGATGGCAAGAGAAGTTACCAGCAACTGGCTTCTTCAAGAAATATAGTCCACATGTACACTCACTTCCCACCCTCCTTCCTCCTTGTCTCTACATCCTTTCAGAAACCCAGTGAGATTTGGACTGTGAGGCTGAGAGATAGCTGAAAAGACCATCAGGCTCTTTCCAGAGGTGCATGTGACTGCTGCAAGAGGAAAAGTTTTCTTGTGCGAATTCACACATGGAGTGTGCATATTGAAAAACTGGTTGCTGATATTATTTTGTTATTTAACAATGAAAATATCATTCAAAAGGAAAAGTCAATTCTGTTCTTTTTTTTCTCCCTGCCTGTCCCTTGATTCAGTATAATTTCCATACTGCAGCACTCACTCTGTCTGTGTCGAAGACTTGGGGGTGGTGTGGTGTTGGTGAGTGTTATATAAAATCCCACAGAAACTTGCAAAAGCAATGTGGTCTCAGTTATGAAGAAAATTCTACTGTGAATATATCTTGGTAAGCATATTTCAGATGGGAGTACTATAAAAAGTGCATAAATTACTTGCTTGATATAGCATTTTCAGGACTATGTTATTAAGGAAGGTGAGACTGGGCATCCTACTGTATCCCTTTACATCATTTAATGGTTTTGTATTTGCCAATACAGTTGTCAATAAAATTTCATAGCACCATTTCTTTTTATCACTTGCAAGCTTATGGGGCTACTTGAGATTTTATTTTATTTTGTAAATCAAGGAGTATAATGAGATTTGTTTATAATAATATAAAAAGAGGCTGTCCTGTGGATTCCTCATTCTAAGAACAGCTCTTCCAGACCAAGTTTACTTCCTGATTCCACCAAACTGTGTAATTGCATCTGCTTAGGTTTGAAATAGGGAATTATATGGCAGAACAGAAGTATTTGTGCTAAGCTTTAATAAGACAGCGCACCAAAGCAATGATACCAGGCTGAATACCTATTACATTTATCTTACTGTGCTAGGTGTTTCTTAGTGGTAAGAGATTAAATATATAATTAATTTTGAATGAGTGTGTGTAGAAATAGTGCTAAGTTGTCAATGCTAACTCTGCAGATGTATCTTTTGTGTTGAATTAGGTGGAAACAGCAACTGACTCAGACACTGAAAGCAGAGGCCTACGGGAATACCACTCTGTTGGAATACAAGTGGAAGATGAAAAACGGTAATTCAAGCATGTAGAAAAATCTGTAGTCTTTTATAACACAACACACATTTGTAAACAGAGTTAATAACAAGCGTCTGGCAAGTGCTGCTCCTAAATAATTCACAAAGCCAAATTTATTTATATGCGTGCTTGTCATTCGGTAAAATTTGTAGAGATTACTTAGCAGTTGCTTCATATTTAGCTAAATTTCCAGTTTTTAATTGGAAGGAAGGAAGTGAAAGTATTAAATTGAACTAGTGGCTTAATATAATTTCATTATCGGCAGAACAAATACGAGGAGCTGTATATTGGAACAGTCTTCCTTCAATAGGACTCCTCGTACTGATCCAGGCTTTCCCCATCCACACAAGGAGATATACCGGTTAGGATGTAATCCGTGATACCTTTTTCCTAAATTAGAATCAGTTTTTACACTTATTCAGTCCTCTAGTTTTGTAAAGATGCTGGTCCATCTACTAACCCACAGGTTATCCCTGGTAGGCATTGCTTAACAAGTTCTGGACTGAGACCATTATCTCATTTCACGGCAGCTGTCAGACAGTATCTGGTTGCTAATTGCCTTTTGCTGTCATTGACTAGAAGTAATTTGAGACAATAGGCTCAGATGTGAAAAGATTTCACAAATAATCTCTGCTTCTCTAACTTTTTAACACAAAGCTTTTCTAAAATGTCATTATTTGGTGTCATATAAGAGTAGAAAATCAACCTTTAATGGGCACCCTATAAGCCAAAAAAAACCCCAACCCACAGTCTTAAACCTGCTGCTACTATTTTTCTTTTATTAGAGGATTCTCAAAAGTCCTAAGTTAGCAGATTTTCAAATTTTATCTAACTGAAATTCTTAACATTTGAAATTTTTTTAATATATGTACTTTACAGACATCAGGAAGTTCTAGTTCTGTTAGTTATTTCCAGTTCATTTACTAATGATACATGTTATTTTGTAGTATGAGAATAAATCAATATTTACTTCCAGAGATAATTTGAATTATTTTCCTTTGTATCCTTGCTCAGATCAATGACGCCACTATACATTTTGTTTTTTCTCTCTGTTGCTACTCACTGTCTTATTTCAGAGATATGCCTCTGTATTATCACATATGTTATCTATATGTCTTAATCTCTTTTCTTTCTTCCCTGTTCACCAAGGCACGGACGATTCAAGCGCTCAAACAGTGTAACAGCAGCTGTCCAGGCTGACCTGGAACTGGAGGGTTTTCCAGGACACATCACCATGGAAGACAAGGGACTTCAGTTTGGCTCGTCATTCCAGCAGCACTCAGAGCCCAGTACACCCACCCAGTATAGTGCAGTGAGAACTGTACGGACACAGGGACTGTTCAGTTACAGAGAAGATTATAGGACCCCAGTTGACACAACAAACCTTCCACCACCAGAACCCTGGCTGGAGCCTGCCATTGAGACAGTAGAGACTGGTCGAATGTCACCTTGTCGACGGGATGGATCTTGGTTTATGAAGTTACTACATACTGAAACTAAGAGAATGGAAGGATGGTGCAAAGAAATGGAAAGAGAAGCAGAAGAAAATGATCTTTCTGAAGAAAGTAAGAACAATTTTTTTATAGAAGTCTGCTAAAATAAGAAATATGTTAGGATAAAGCTGTGAGCTGTGGTTTTCCTTTACTCATACTGTAGGACCAAAGACTCTCTACAGAACCATAAGGTATAACACTATCCTGCAACTGACTGCACAAGACAGCATTTCCCAGAGTAAGGTTTTGTGGAAGTATTTAAAGACCCAACTTTAGAGTCAAGCACAGGATCGAAGTCTGGTATTAGATACAGCTCAAATGCTGCAATAGCTCCATCCATAGCTCCAACTCTGACACATCCTTTACACTCACTTGTATGGCTCCAGTGCTTGACCCTTTGCCAGAGCACACAGAGTGGTCCTGTGTGAACATTGGTTCACCCTTTTCCTGAAACCTGCAATTTTAACTCTTATTAATGAATAGCCATTTTAAAAATGTTTCTATTCCTTTACAGGCACTTCAGCCTGTTGGAAGAACAGAAAGCAGTAGGCAAGAGCTATAGTTAAAGCACTTCTGCAGTTACACAGGCATATGCATTATTAGAAAATTCAGTTGTATTTTCTTATAATTTTGTCAAGAATCATTATTATTCTCCCGTGTCCCGTAGACTCCTTGAAAGGAGTGATGGGTTAAAGTGAAAAATAATGTAGACTATTTTGGAACAAGATCCAAGCCAGCACTAATGATAGTAATATATCAAAGTGGTCCTAGCACTCAGTAGCCAACTCCCTGTGACTCCCTTTGAGGTCAATTATCCTTGTTCTTCAGGCTCAGTTTTATAAATATTTCAATCCCTGACAATCTGAATTATTGTCTCAGCTGAGCTTTTCTCAGATCGCAAATTAGTTCATATTAAGTTTTCTTACTAGCATCTTTCCCTGCCCTCCCTCCACGTACTCTTTCCTGGTCATCTTCTTTCCCCCTCAATGAGTTCTTGCTATGATCAACCCCCAAGTCTTGAGACAGGCCAGCATGGTGACTAAAAGGCCAAATTTTATTTCTTGTGCTGACCTTTTCAAAATAAATAATATCTATGTATTTACATCATCTTTTTTTTATTTTACAGTCATATTTCTACACTATATTGTGTCCAAGTCTGCCAAGTAACAACATAGGATTTGGCGAGGGGTGGGGGGTGGGGTGTAAGACTGTTTTTCCTTCCTTCAGCCTCTGGTGCTTTCTGGACTGTAGGTTTTGTTCTTATTTTCATAATGGCAGAGCTGAGCTGAGAATTTTCCCCTTGCATTGATACTGTGAAGACTTTAATACCCTCCTAGGGGTTTGCAAAGTATAAATAATGAAATATTTTTATTTGATTAGCCCATGTGAGAATTTCCAAGCCTTCTTTCATAACAGTTATTTCTCACTACATTTTACCACATCTTATTTTTCAATTCTCCAATTTTTCGCGCTGCTGAATGCTGACATTTCAATGCCGTGTTGTAAGAATCCCTAAGCACCTGCTTCCCAGATCACCTGTTACTGATGTAGGGACATCAGTGCTTCTGATCTGAAGCAGAAGTTCAGAGAGCAAGATTTTGATGTCTTTGGAAAGAGTAAAATTATTTAGAGTGCAAAGGGGAGAAACACACAGGCAATTAGCCCCTCTCTTTCCCTAGGATGCCAGTGAGGCATCTGCAGGCAAGAGCTGGACTTCTCCTATCTCTTCTCTCTGCAAGCTCCAGAAATACTCTGAAACACCTTGTTGCATGGTGAATTGGCAATCAGGGAAGTAGTTTTCTGTAAATTGTACAAAGGACATGAAGACAAAATGGACTTCAGTAATTTTTATTAATATTTGGAGTTAGTGACACCCTTTTAACTTGGAATATTTCAGTCAGAAAACAAAATGTAATATCAGGATTTTGTTTCCCCATCTGTAGAGGAACTCTAATCTGTAAGAGAAAAAAGAGGGGAAAAAAAAGAAAAAGAGCAATTCCCTGATAGAGAGTTGATAAAACACAGATGAAATGGACGTTTGAAATCCCTTTATCAAACTAACAAAAACGGGTTAATTACTTGCATTTGGGGGAACATTTTGGCCTCCCTAATAAAGAAGTTATTATCGAATAGGTCTATGTAGCATATCCGAAATGGAAGTTTGTGTTCAGCTGATTGTCAAAAGTAAACCCCAAAGTTCCAATTTTCCATTTTATGTGACTCATTTCAAGAGACCTTCCTGAAATAATTTTCAAATTACATTATCTTTGAAATGGTATCCCTTCACCTAGCAATGCTTAGATCAAGTAAGAGGAAGTTTTCAAAGAATTAATTTCACCAAGAGAATGAGCTTCACAGCATTTTAAAAATTCAGTGTGAATAATTTTTTTTCTGTTGAGTCTTTAGCACATTTTTTATCCCCAGTTTGAGCTATGGAGCTTATAAGGTATATATCCACAAGAACTTAAGTTTAATGATATCCCAGCATGAAATGGATCTGATTTTTTTAAATGTTTGTCAGTTCCTTGAAGAAAATACACAAAAATGGCCAAGTCGAAAGCAAATAAATATGGTTTTCCATCTTCCAGCAGGAGCTACTATTCCCAAAACACTTCACAGCAAGGTTTGCACATTCAAACTGTCATTCTTAATGCTGAATAATTTCTTTTTAGCCTGGGTGTATTAATTGTACCTGAAGACCAAATATAGCTTTGCATCTCATGGGAGAAGGCTGTCCTTATGATACCACTTCTATTTCATTTTAAACACGGGAAGAGTTAAAATAGAACTGCATTTTAGAAAACAATTTCATTTTTGGCTTTAACACAATAGTTCTGAGATCACCGAGAGCTGTCTGATTGCTGTATTGATTTGTTCTTTCACTGTAGCATTTGTCTTATAATGCTGTTTTAAGAACTTCACTCATCAGGTCTTAGAAAAAGAGAAAATAATCATTGCAGCAAAAATAACTTCTCTCTCTTTCTTTTCACAGAATTTTTTTGTTTGGTCAGTTGCCATGAGTTATATTTTGAAGTCTCTGCAAAGTTCATATATTGTTTGTGGGGGCAATTATTTGTGTTCTAAGTGTTTAATATAACATAGATAGATAGATATAGATAATATAACATAGATAGATAGATAGATAGATAGATAGATAGATAGATAGATAGATAGATAGATAGATAGATAGAGATACAGATGTAGATCTATAGATAAATGTAGATAGATATGTGGCTGTAACTGTTCCCAGGGTTAGTCACCTGATCATTTGCACTAGCAGGGTGCCTGCAAGCAATGATATGTGTTTCTCATGGGTGCTGACTGGAGTTTCAGTTTTACACTGTGAAAATTGTGTTTGGCTATTACTGCTGTGTAGGTGATGACAAGAAAAACACTCCTAACTGTCACAAAGCTCTTGAAGACCAAGAGGGTCAGGACTCTGCCTCCAGTGATGGCAGGAGGGAGAGCAGCTCAGGGAGGGGGAGAGCAGGCCAGCCAGGGGGGAGCCACAGTCCCTGCCCACAACTCGTAGGCAGGTCTGGCAGAGGGAAGATGACTTCCTGGGCTTCTTAGTGCCACTTAGTGCTTGACCTCTGAAATACTTCATTATGGAGAACAGCTGCACAGAGTTTACTCTCACATAAAAACACTAATATAGGCTCAAAAATTAACTACAGTATAGACTATACCAGCAGAAAAGTTGTTTTGCTGGTATCTTCTGCACCGTGGTTGGGAGCTCTTCTGGCATAGCTACATGGTAAAGTGATCTCTAACAGGGAAACAAATAAAGGTATTAGGGAGAGTGAGAGAGGAAAGTATCACCCTTCTCTCCCCTTTCCCTTCATTCCATGAATGGATGCTGGATTTTTTCTTGCTAATCCTCTGGCTAATATTTCCACAGTATACAAAGGCTTTACTTAATAAGGCTGAATAGTAAAAGAAAATACAGAGTTAAATCTCTCGTAATTTGGGGAGGGGGAAGGAGAGGGGGAAATAAAAACCAACAAAAAAAACCTCACAACCAATTTATTTTAGTATATTCATCCATTAATTATCCACGAAAGCTTTCTTAGGTGTTTGACCAAATATGGGTTATCCTTTAGTCAAAGAGAAATTACTGACATAATTTTCTAATGCTTTTCACAAACCTATCCTTCAGGAACTGCTGAAATTTACATTTGCAGTGTTGTGAATGACTAAAGAATGTCTTAATTGTCCTGAAACAGTCTGTAAAGTCCTATAGTGTGGAATCCAAGAATTCCTCCTATCATTTCTATTGTTCTGCTGAAATTTTCTCCTCTGTGAACTCAGCTTTGTTGAAGTAAATAGCAAATTTGCAGCAAGTCCCACTTGGTGCACAGGAATTTCATTGTCCTAACTAACATCCAGAGCACTGCCAGCTGGAGGTTGTGTTGTCCTAAAATGCCATCTGAACATTATATATTTATTTTTGTGCTGACATGCTCTGTTGATAGTGAAAAAGATATTTCTAAAGATTACTAAGTTAGGTTTAAAGATTAGACAAATGTCATGCCCTACTTTGAGTCAGGAGGATGAACTAACTACCAGTTCCATTTTTTTTTTTTCTAGGCATATTTTCTTAGGTTGTTTGTGGAGCAATTTATTTACAAGTAGAGGGGGAAAAATGGAATGATCAAATGGAATGAAAATTTAAATTAAAACACATCATTTAAATAAACAGTAATGAATGCCAGAAGCAGATTGATTGTTACTAGTTTCTCACTGCCAGTATAGCAGTGGCACAACTGAGCAAAGCATTTAACCTCTCAAAAGTAGAGTTACAAAATCAGATTATAATCGGTTTCATCAATATAGACATCTACCCCCTTTACCTTTGTGATATGAAATAATTTTTGATTACAAGATTTTGTAGAATTTCTCAAGCAATTCCACACATATATAATACTAGCAATTTTGTAACATGATGACTTCAAGGGATAAGAGACTATTGTGTTAACTGTGCAATTTACACAATCTCTAACCAAAATGTATATCCTGAGTCTGTTTTTATTGAAGTCCCGGTCAGCATTTTGTGTACGTTCAGAGCAGAAGTCATACAGGACCATATAACAGAAATGGAGTGCTTCATACAGGCAGGGAGCAGAATGAAGGTTGAGTGACTCTTTCCTGACATTTGGGCAAATATAATATTATCTTAATGGTGGTAGGTATATGGATGATATAAAAATTATATCTATTTATGCGTGTTGGTAGATTTTATCATCATTTATTTACAAGAAAAATCTTCTAGGCACCACCAAACATCTCAATCTCTCCAGTCTCTAACATTCATCATTCTTTCATGGAGATAATCAATCTGCACTCATCAGAATAATTCCCCAATGCATGAAATTAATAACAAGGCTTCGGATGTCTATTAATATTGTGCTAAAGATTATGAGTTGAAGTGTTTTAATACTTTAATTTAATTACAGCAAAGTAGAGTAGCATGAATATTAGGGATTCTAACCTCTATGTTTTATTACGTCTGATTTACTTATTAAAATGGAAATAGAGTTAGATCTTTAGTAAATGCTAGGGCTGTAATTATACATGTGTATTCAGCACTGTGACTCAGTGACACATGCAACTAGCCCAGTCTTACATCCCTGCCAGATTTGTATCACACAAAAATTCTGCACTGGGCTATAAATCACTACTGCTTGTTGACATGATCTTTCAGGGTAATGAAGATAAAATAAATGCTTATTTAATATGGAGGTTGGGGTAACTTTGAGATTCACTAGAAAATATCAGACATATATAGATTATGTCAGGATCTACTTTTTACAGTAGGTCTACAACCAATGCCTCTTACTCAGGCTATGTGAGTAGAGTTCATAGCTGTTTGAGCTATGAGCTATAAAATTCAGCAGAGGAAACTAAAGCTGAACTGTATTCACTATGAGATAAGCACAACCATCAGCCTATGGAATCATCTTACTTTCTTTCTGCCCAGTGAACAGCTGAACATAGCATGAAATAGGCAATGTCAGGGACCTGCTACAGCACAATTCCTCATCCTGGAAAAGAAGGAACTCTGACCCCATACTGGGAGTTTGTCTAATGCCCTGAGCTACAGAGCGCCAAGAGAAAAAAGGAGGATACAGGATGTTTGTCACAGAACTCATCACCTTTATTAAAAGTGCTGGGAACCAAATTAAAGCAATTTATTTCAGATTAAATGAAATATTACTTTTTTATTTAGTTTTTTGTATGTTTGTCCAGGTTTTAACACTCAAAACATTTTTTCTGTATGCCAATAATGCTGTAGAGGAAAGTGAGGGGTTTGGTGATCGAAAAACCCAAACCAATTAAAATGCTTTATTTCATTTGGTTGACAAAACAAAAACAAACCCCAGTGAATTACTCATGAAGCCCTGAACCACTTAACCCTTTCATAATGGATGTCACACAGGACTGATGAATTCTGTATATTGCTGTTTAATTTAGTATTGTGGCACAGTTGTACTGTTTATCCAACAGAAAATGGAATAGAGTTTGAGAACAACAGCTCTACACATTAACACATGCTTTGAAAGTTACTGAGTTTATAACTGGAGCCCAAAACTTTCAAATTGTCTCTTGCTGCTACTTGTGGGTGAGCAGATGTTTCACTGGTCTAAAGAAAGCAGAATTAAAATGTAAAATCTACTACCAAGATCCTGGTTTCACATGCCGTCCTGTACTTATTCTAAATAACAACAAAATGTTAAGCCCTACTGGAGTTTAATGTTTCCTATATCATGGGCTGCAGATCAGTTCTGCTGTACTATTGTGTCTTCATTCCACCCTCTCCATTCTGCTTGAATTATCAGTTTGGTTTCCCCAAGTATAAGTAAAATACTTCAAAATAATTGCTGTCTACCCTTACTTCACCTCTCTATATCTTTAACATAAAAAGATTTGGAAATTCTCCAGCTAAAATCAGTCTTCCATTGAGACCACAGTTTAAAATGCTTTTTGAAGTGTTACATTTTCATCACAGAGATGGATGTGGAGGAAAGGAAGTGTAAGAAAGGATATGTAGAAAGGCGGTGTAGGAAAGGATATGTAGAAAGGAGGTGTAGGAAAGCATGGTGCTACCTACCAAAGTATGGTATGTATCCCAGCAACTGTGGGAGTCAGGAGGATTTAGTTTCTTAGGAATAAGCCAGTACCCCTAGGCACTACAGTCAATAGAAAGACAGAGGCATCTCCAGGAAGAAATTCAGCTCATCTAAAAATAAGTGCCTAACATGGCTAAGCTGACGAGCTCAGATCACTGATTATAGAGCATTCAGAAATTTTAATTTAGACAGATGACTCTTGGAAACAAAGTCAAGTAAAATGAGTTTGGTCCCTTTCCCCAGTGCTTATGTACACTGTAAATGGACAGTGGGGAAATACCAACATATCCATGGGGGCTGATCCTGATTCAGCAAAGTCCTGCAGTATCTGCTTGTGTCCCACTTTTTCTGAAGCTCCTGTGCTGAGGACTTTGTGTATTTTCCTTGGTAGACAACCTGTAACTCCTAATGGGTTTAACAAGGCATGTGTCAGAGATGTAATTCCTCTGAGGATCTCATCCTTATGGTAGGAGTATGTTATATTACAGTTTAATGTATTAACTTCAGAACAGACAGGATAAAGAGAGTTCACCCAGGGATCATCCACACAACTGAGTGAAATAATTTGAGATTGCAGAACCAGAGGATATTATGTAAGGTACATGTAAAGCTCCCTTTGACATCAAGGTGCCACTGAGCTTTCTTATATCTCAGTCTTTTTAAAAAATATTTTATGTGTATAATCACAAGCAACAAACCCAAATATTTATTTCCCTTATAAAATAAACAGGAATTTCAGATACATATTTTTGAGCTGGATTTGGCATTTACTGCCAAAACCCATTTATTGATGATAATCTGTCTGTGTGTTTAGTTCTAGGTAAGATCCGAAGTGCTGTTGGAAGTGCTCAGCTCCTCATGTCTCAGAAATTCCAGCAATTTTATTGGCTTTGTCAGCAAAATCTGGTAAGTCACTATGCCTGGCTGTTCTTCCAGAGTTTAGGGTTATTTGTCCACAGAATTTTAGAATTTATTATTTTTACTTCAAAAACAACAACAGTAGCATTCTGAAATGTTATTTTCATGTCCCACGTTTTGTCTTATTGCTCCCCTTCTTTAAACTTTATCCTTAAGTATGGTGCTAGTACATTTTTTTCCAAAGCAAATATGTAATTCCAGTAATTTCAGTCTGATTAGATTTTGTCTTTTCTCTTTTTGCTATCTTTATTAAAGAAAAGAAAATGAAAAGGGAACTAATGCAAGTTTTCTGAGACATAATATTATGGCTTATTTTTGTAATACCCTAATATAGCAACGATATTTCAGGTAAGAAAGGGGACAATTTTCACATTACAGTAAGTGGAGAATAGTAAAATAGAATAGTGGAGAATACATGATCCAGCCTTCTACCTACCTGAAAACAGGACTGATCTTGGAAATGAGATATACATAATGTTCATAAAATTGGGTTGCATAATTTACATTGCCAATTATATATAAGATGTCCTAGGGCTAAAGGAACAGATGCAGTATATTACTTATGAGAGTTACTGCTATTGTTCTTGAAGTTCATTAGAGACTAATTCAATTCTAAATGTTATCTTCATTAATATGACAGCAGCCATCAGTGATACAAACGTTGCAGCAAGATGATACTAATCAATAGAAGAATGTAATTCTTCTAGCTACAGTTGGTGGTAGAACACCTTTCCTTGAGAACACTCAAATATCAAGTGTAACTTTCTCCTTTTGACTGTCCCCACACCTCATATATTGAAAGAGCAGAATTCTATTGCATGCATGACAGCAGACATGACCTATATGTCTAGTTAGATACTTTTCTTTGTATGTTGGCATTTGCCCCATGACTTTTAAGGCAGAACATCCATTCTGCAAAGACCAACTTGCTACTTTCAGAATTCCTGAAACTGAAATCAAATATTACTGAGAAAGTCGTGCCAAAAAGTCATACCTTCTGATAGAAAATAATAAGATATATGGTCCTCATTAGGAAAGAATCCAATTATGTACTTCAAAGACACTGTCAAAACAAGAATTTTAATAGTTATTACAGAATTACAGAGGAAACATATAAAGTCAGGCAAGCAGATGACCACGTCTGTATTATCAAATACATCATGTGTGCTCTCTGTCTAGTAATTAGTTTCATATAAAAAGGAGGAAATCATCACTGTCTAAAAATTTCTCATTGCAAATTTAAAAATGCCCTCCATTACCTGATTAAGCTATGCAAACTAAGATTTGGAGAGCCTAACCTCCACTCCACTTCATTTATCTTCAAGTGGACCCAGCACTTGTGCTGAGAGCATTACTGTGATAGCAAATGCAATTCCTGCTCAGCATGGCTGTCAGCTATTTGGAAGTGAGAACAATTCATTACTGCAAAAGCAATAGGAGCACAAGGAGAAATCTACAGCTTTGCAGACAGCATGACCAGAAAGCTGGCAAGATTTTACGTCTCTCTTTCTTATTTGGATAATAAACCTTTGAACTCCATAACAGCAACTTTATCCCACTCTGGAGATTTAGACTGAATATTCTTCTGTTTCATTAAACCAGTAATGGGCTCTGCAGAAAACAGCAACTGCAAGACTGGACTTTAGGTCATTCATGTTTGGAGGCTTTTCTTCCTATTCCTAATGATAGAGTTTGTTGCTAAATAGTCACTTAGTGTATACCCGCAGCAGGGTTTCCATATGCTCCTAAGGCAGCATCCTGGTGCCCCACGGGAATGTTGCCAGCCAGTGACTTTATTTTCTTGAAAACATCCAACACATACAGGGCTGCCACACAGCAGTTCCTATGACAGTGTTCAGCATCTATAAGCATAAATGTAGGACAAAGAACAACAGCATTTAATTCTGCCAATTCAAAAGGCAGCAACGGTTTAAGAAGAGAAATATACTTACTCAAACTGAAATTAAACTTTAAGGGGCACATTTGATTACACTCCGGGTTAAGACCTCTTATCAAAGACCCTAATTTAAGGTAAATTTACAAAAATTTAAGCTTCGATGAAGTTTTTTTTTACAAATCTGGCTGGCTATCTGCTACATGTATACTGTTCCCACTACTTGGAAAAAAACCTATTACTGATTAATAACTACTCCCTTCTAAATTAGTCACATTAGTTCTTGTAACTCCCAGTTTTTTTACCTTGAAGTGTCCTCCTGCATACTCTCTAGTCAGCACAGATCCTGCTCACCTAGTGAGATCCTTCCTCAGTATGTCATGGTTGCAGACAAAAACAGAGCAGCTCAAGCACCAGCTAGGTACTGGTTGCTTGCTTTAGGCTTCATTCAGAAGGAGGGCTGCAAAGCTGAATTCCAAGTACAATACAAATTAATGAGCAGCTTCTGAGAAGAAGCAGGTTTAAGCCAATCTTTTCAAAACTTAGTTAGCTGTAATACTATTCATTTGTGCTAGCATTTATTTGCGAACTGTGGATCTGTATGAAGCAGGAGGCAGCCCTCTTGTGTCCAGACTACACATGGCACAGCCCTCTGCAAAAGCCGCGCTGGAGGCCTGGTCTTAGCAAATACCATGAGCAGAGTGGGGAGCACAAAGGTACAGAACAGCAATTAGCTTTGATTCAGAAGGCAGTGGCCTTGCAATGGGTGTCATCATTTTCTGGCTGTTTGTAGGAAACTGGGATGAGGGACAGAGGAGACCAGGCTGGAGAGAACAGATTGCAAGATAAGATATACTGCTGTGGGACCATCCTGACAAATTTCACACAAAGAGTTGGTTCTTAAAGCCTGAGATATTGACCTCTGTAGAGTAACTAACACCACTGACATAAATATTAAACCATTTTTTAGTAAATGGGGATCTACCCAGTGAAGTAGTTTTCAGTAAACACTTATCTGGAGTTGTAACCTTTCCCAGCATTCTGGTATAATCTATATGGCCAGTTCTGTTAAATCCCTGAAGCTGCCTATGAAAAGGAGACTTTCTTCTAGTGAAGAAGACTTCTAAGTTGTTCTTTGCCCAGATTCCAAAAGACGTCTAGGTATGAGTAACACTACACGTTGTATTTAATATCTAAAATGCCTGTATACACTAGATTTGTAAAAGGTGGGGCACAGAGCCTTGCATCAGCAATAACAGCAGTGATACTAACACAGTCATTACAGCTTTTGCCCAGGAATGGGGAGATCCAGAGTCCCCTTGGCCTGGTTTTGATTCCGTCTCTTCAGCTCCATTCTTTAGACCATCTTAATGGCTTCTTCCTGCTCTGGAAGGAAAAGGGCATCTCTCCTCTACCTTCACAGACATATTTACCAATTAAACCCTATCTCATTAAACCAACAAAGCTATCTTCCAGTACCAATGCTCAGAAAGCACAGGGTTAAAAGTCTGCATACCACCTTGTACTGCAATTTTTATCCAGCAGCAGCAGCTTATTAATCAAATAGAGGGTCATCTTGCTAATTGTTATGACCAGTGTTTGCTCCATTAAGTCTTGTGCACACAGAGCCGCTTAATTGCAGTACCTGGTGGCAATGCCTTCCCAGTTCCTTTGTGTGATTCAACTCCCTGGAGAACAAAATCCTACTATCCCCATCAAAATTTCATACCTCGTGCATACATTTGAAAATGCAAGCCAATGTAAACATTGAGTTCAGCATAAGCTGACAAGTCTTTGTGATATCGTTTTGTCTTCTAATCAGCTATCGTGAATGCAATTTTTAAACAGAAAGACTTCAAGCTGCCTGGAATACAAACCACGTTCCCCTTCCCTTTAATAATCAGCAGGCAGAGGCTGTCAGCTTGTTCCGTTTTAGAAATGCAGGTCAGCACAGCATATGGTGTAAGGAACTTCCCATGCCACAAATTCAAGAAGGCTTGCATGTGACATCCAGCTCATTCATCTTTGGGTTGTGTAGGAGGCACAACTTTCCAGTCACAGCTCCCAGCTGTAAAGTGCAAAAGGCCTTAGCACTGAGCAGTGCTGCAGGAATGTAATCTGGCACGATGCCTTTCCTGCCTCAATGCACACTCTGTAAAGCCTCCTGTTCTATTCATATTCTCTCCTTTGCTCCTGACAGGACCCGAGTGCCATGCCGAGACCAACTTCCCAGGACCTAGCAGGTTTCTGGGACTTACTGCAGCTCTCAATTGAAGACGTCAGCATGAAGTTTGATGAACTGCACCAGTTGAAACTCAATGAATGGAAAATAATAGAATCACCTGAAAGGAAGGTAAGCAGACCATTTACTCCCCATTTGTAGTCCTGCAGTCTCCTTGCATTAAATATAATAATGAAACATGATAGGCTTCTAACCCTGGGAAGTATTTAATTGGCATGGCCCAATTTTTACATGAAAAATTCCATCAGATGTGAGGAGATTAGTCTTTTTAACAATGTTGAGCTGAATTGTATAAGAAATAAAATGGGGTTTGCTAAATTAGTTCACTCCATAACACTTTTGTTCAAAATATTTCGATTCACATTCTAAAGGCTAGAACTGAAATATGTTCTTACTAATTCAGACTGAAGACAATAGCCCAAGCATTCAAACAAAGTAAACTTGGCACTCTGCTACATTTGGGGCAGCCCAGACCCAAGCACTTCAGTGTTTAACCCTGCCTGCACAACACGACTGATACTAGAACAGAAATGAGATGTAAGCATATGACAAAACATGGTGCAGGTCACATTAAAGCTCAGTCCACAAAAATTTGGGGAACAAAGAGTGCTGTTGGCAAACTGCCCACATTTCTGCCTTGCAACTCCACCATCTTGGAGATGCCCCACTGTGATACCTACAAAGCAAAGTTGGCAAATTGCCCATTAAAGCAGTGTAATTCTGAAACTCTAGAGCTCCATCCCTTACCCTGATTATCCTGCTATCCTTGCTGATTATTGTATCAGTCAGATGAAAACAGCATTTGGTTTGAGTCAGTACTGTTGGCCTCAGGTGAATACTTGTTTGGTTTGGGAGGAATTAGGAGGCATTTTGACAACTTTTTCATTTCTTCATGCTCCTCTTGGATTTTAATTTTCAGCCAACGGGTTGGTGGATGGTGAGTTTGCAACTCTTGCTTACTAGTGACAACTGGAAGTAAGAAATTATTGTAGTGACAGCAACAGTGATGTTCCTAAGAGGGAAATAACTAAAAGTGGAAAAAAACCAAAAGATGGAACAAGAGGAATGGAGCCCTTATGTTCCTGGCTGAAAACAGGAAATAGAGAAAATAAAGACTGGAAGAGCTGGCTATCATGGGGAATAGCATCTTAGGCTGCTGCACTGTTCCTGTTTAATATAGAACTATGTTTTTAAATGACCTTAGTTATTTAGTCTTGGCTACTGCATTTTGATAGTAGATTCAGAATTATTTTTTTTTTAAGACCAAACAATGAAGAGTCTGTAAACCATAGGTGTATCAGTTCAATTTTCGTATTATTTGAATCCTGCTGTGCATCAAATTAACTGTGTTCTCCATAAGGAACAGCCCATACTCTGTACTACTACCATTACTGTAAGAAATTATATAGCAAAAAGATCAATCACAATAACCAGAAATAAACATGGGAAGTTGTGGAGTCTCCATCTTTGGGGCTATGTAGTCCAGTATTAAATATGACATTAAAAACCTGTTTTAACTTCTAAGTTGCATCTAATTTCAAATGGGCTTTAAATAAGGATTGTATGAAATCACCTCCAGACATCCATCTCTTCTAATCTAAACTACTGTACAATTCCTTGATTCTACAGTATCTTTTTAAGGCCCTCATATGATATTTCACAGTCTCTAAATTGAGTAAAATATCCATTTCATACTTCAAAACAATTCTTGATTTAACTCCTGCAGAGAAATTTACAGATACTTTGGTAACAAAATCTACTGACTTTCACTTTATAATTTGATAATTCTTCAGAATAATTTTCTTTAAAATGGTCTAGGCTGACAAGCAGAATAATTAGCCCTATGTTCTCTCTCTAGTTGGAGCTTGAATGTTTCCATTTAGCAATTCATGGAGGAAACTAAACTAATAGACATATACACACAGCTGCTATCTCATATCCAGCTGAGGCTAAACTCAGTATGATTAATTTCATCAAAAATCCTGTCCTGCTAATCTTAGAGAGTCTTTTCACTTGATCAGACCACACAGATGCGCTGAATTCTTATTGGAGAGCCAGTGTGTGTTTCTGTTTATAATGAGTGTAATAATGTGTCAGCTAAAATTAAACAAATCCATATGAAAGTGAGGTATGCAGATTGCATGTGCCGATACCTGCAAGGACAGTACAAGGGAAGTGCAGTCCTTTTTCAGGCACAGGACCGCAGAATGTGTAATGGTTGTCAAAAGGGGTTTTGTCAGTGTCCCTACTGTGGATAGCTGTTCATGTAATCCATTAGTCAGCTGATGGGCAAGCACAAATTGAGCATGCTTGATGTATGTAATCAGTATTTTGCATTTCATGTCTTCGATGTGCATGCTCTGCTGACAAGTACCTTCTGCATACAGCTCACCCTTGGTTTTAATGCCCTATTGCAGGAAGAAAGAAAGATTCCTCCTCCTGTACCAAAGAAGCCCCCAAAAGGAAAATTCCCTATCACAAGAGAGAAATCTCTGGACCTACCCGACAGACAGCGACAAGAAGCTAGAAGACGGCTGATGGCTGCCAAGCGAGCAGCCTCTTTCCGGCAGAATTCAGCCACAGAACGTGCAGACAGCATCGAGATCTATATCCCAGAGGCTCAAACACGGCTTTAAAGACAGAATGCTGCAGAGTTCCTTTTTTAAAAAAAATGCTTGTACAGTTTGTCACTTACCTGGTAATTTTTGTCTCATTCTCTCCACTAAATATGCCCTTGCTGTTGTGTTCTTTGTGCCATAAGCACAGTGGAATGCTTTTGATTTCCTCAGAATTTGCTGAGCTCACCGCAAGAATGACTTCTTTTTGTATTGTCTGACTTACAATCAGCTACAATGGATAGGGCTTGTCAAGACCTGACTTATCCAATATATTCTCAGAGGACAACAAGAAACACCTCTTGAGATGGAACCCAGCTTACTTTTTTGTTATTTATATTTTTATAAAATGTGTGATAATTAGGGATAAGAATTACAAACTATAAATGGGTGCATCTCACCATTCACTAGAGGCATTAGCTAATCCAAGTAGAAGGTGCTACAAATGTAAAGAGCAGGAAAGAAAGAACCCATTTATCTCTTTGACCTCCAGTTTCTTTTCCTAGAACCCAGCTAACATATTTACCCATGTGCTCTGCCACTCTTTTCATCTTTGTTACTGCAAAATAACATTAGGCGTCTCATCTCATGTCAAGTTTCTGGAGATGAACAGGGATACCCAGCCACTAAAACTCCAAAGTTCATCAGAAACTAAGAAGCATACAAGTCCGGTGGTGGTGGGAATGTCCACTAAGAAACATTTGCTGTTAGCAGCATAACGACACTCTGAAACCTAAGCAAAATTGTAATGCAAGAGGACTTGAATGATGGGTGAAAGGAAAACAGAAGCCTTAAAAAGTTAGATCTTCTGTAGTAAGATGTGTAAAGAAAAAGTTATACTCGCTCCTTTGCAACACTCATTGCATTCTTAACATTTCTTTTACATGTTAACATTTATTTTATAAACCTTCTCTCTTTCATTTCAAGAGCCGTGCTACATGTACTGTTTAAAACTCTCAAATTGTTATAACAATTGAGTTTCCAGGGTATCCTTGAGAACAGAAAATCTTGCTTGTTTAAAATGCCAGTTGTGATGTTGTAAACAGTTTAAGAAATATGAATGTGAGTGGTAAGTATATATAAGTTTAAATGGTTATGTTAAGGTAAAGGTGAACTGTGGTTTACAGTTGTATTTTTTTTTAGAACTATTTTTCTATGCAGTATCATTTATGGCAAGAATAAACTTCTTGCTTGCTTCAGACATAGAAAAAAAACATGACTCGAGAGATAAGAGCTTTCCAGCCAGGAAATATAAGGAAAATAATATATTTTCAAGCCTCACATTGTCAGGAGAGAAGTGGCAACTTCCACAGCCAAGAGGCTTTAATTTAAAACAAATTAAGACAGAATTATTCCACTTCACCTACCTTCCAGAGCCAACTGAGCAATCCAGCACTTAAAAGTCTTCAGGTGAAGACGCAATAAGATGAGTAACCTGCAGCCCCCAGTTCCAAGGTTTGAATCCTACTGAACACAACTTTAGGTCAAAACAGTGTGAACCCAGTGAGACAAACAGCCCCAGCTACCACATTCCCTGTTTACCTGCTTTAACAAATGCAATGCATTTAGCCATAGGCAGAACTACTATTTAATTATACTTGAGCACTTTGGTTCTTCACCTGATGAGCACTTTAAATACGAATCCCACACACCTTGCAGCCTGATGGATGACTGAAAACATGAAGTATTGTAGGTTATGCAGATCTGACATTGCTTCAAATCTGTTTTCTTTTGTTTGCTTTTTTTCTTTTTCCTTCTCTTTTTCCTACAGTGTATGTTATTAAGCATGACTTCTGTCTTTGGAGCACAGATGATAAAGCATGCTTGGCTTCAAGATACGAATCTTTAGAGATGAAGTTTTGAGAAGTTTCTTTGAGAAGAAACCCCTGTAAATTGAGCCTGATATCTGGTGTATACTTTACCAAATAGCCTTAAATTATATTTGGAAGCAAAAACCAAGACGAATGTATATCCTTCAAGAATGCAAAAAAAAAAAAAAAAAAAAGAAAAAAAAAAAAAATAAATCCCTGAAATATTCTTCTATACATGAAAACATTATATTTCCCTTCCCTTGCATTTTCAAGGCATTTTCTATTATGGAAAGAGCTGAATCCTAGGTAGTGTACAATATTGATGCTACTTCCTATAGTTGTTGTACTATTTTAAATACAAAAGTACATGCAGACACTGGCATCTTCAGCCTTGAAAACTAGTATCCTAAAGTGGAGCTGCTAATTGGAAATATCCACACAAAACCAAAGTCAGTGTCTTTCCTAGACTGAAGAAATTTAAAAGAGAAACACACACACCTGTACAACATATATATATATGACAGCTGATATGTTTTATCTAATTTTCCTGTACACTTTGAGGAGAAATCACATTTGCCTTACTCGCTTGAACCCTCTCACCTGCAGCAACAGGTCATGCGATTAAGACAGGCTGTACCTGATCCTGCTAGCAATCAGACTTTATGAAGATAAATTGTAAACCCAAGAGATTGCAGATAAGCTGAGATCCCAGCTGGCCTAATGATGCAGACTTGGAGCAGTCTGTGTTTTACATTTCCCATACCTTTATGAGAAAATGTTCAATGGAAGATTTAGAAATCTATGATTGCTGTTTGTTAGACCTTGGTTAGAAAAAAAATTATTAAAAAAAAACCAAACAACAAAAAAACCCCAACAAAAAACAGCAACCAGAAAGAATCAAAAGTAAACTAGATGCCTACTGAAAAATCTGATAATATGTTATTTGTGCACATTACATTTTGAAGTGCAATATATTAACTTATTGTTGTGGTAAAATTGTATCATTTAAGGCAAATAAACCATTTCTATTTACGTATTGTACATCTGGTTAGTTTAGAAAAATAACATTATGCTTATCATACTTGTGTTGCAAATAAATCAGTCAGGTTGCTTCACTATATGACATGAGAAACACTGCATGTAGCATCATAATAAACATTTAACCAGAACGATTTTAATCTGATCCCACATCATAAAAATAAAATTCAGTTACAAAAACAACATAGGAGGAACATAAATAAACAGAAAGATAGGAACTGGAATACTTTCTGCTTTGAGTTCATGATGTAGACCCACACAGAACAGCTGGATACAGCCAAATAATCTAGTGTTTAATTAAATATTAATTGGACTAATATTTATTTTAACCCATTAAAATTATAGAATGTCCCTGTTCATTTAGTCATTACCTGTAAAACACAAGTATAATAAACAAAATTCAGAAAATTTAAATAAAGAAAAAGTTCTGACTGGTAAAATTGTTGATATTTGCCATATTTATTTTTTGCTTTGTATATCTTTTTAGATTTTAAATTCTTTGTAATTTGGTGAAGTACATTATGAAGTATTTTATTATTTTATGTCAACCTGATTAGAATGGCCTTTGGCAGACTGCTAAGACTAAAAATGTTGTACAGTTTAATACCAAAAAATGATATTTTAATTCATACTTAAACCTTGACACTATGTTAGATTTGAGATCAATCAGGAAGGAATTAAAGTGTGCATAGGAAAGTGTGTGGATTTCATATATATGGATAGATAAACATAAGATACATTTCATATAATGGAAATTATTTGTTTTGAAATAACCCCATGTCCTGCTGTATCAGTAAATTAGTACTCTACTTCTTCAGCACTCCATCTAGTATAAAGTGAAGGACTGTTTGGTCATTGGGAGGTTTTGCTAGGAAAAGGAGTAACTGCTACATGATGGTGCCACATGTGATGTGCCCTACGTGACCCGCAGTCTCCTCGTGCCCTGCAGGAGCAGTGCCCTTGAGAGGCTCCTGGTCCCATAGCACCTCAGGCAACACTGCCACTCTGTCCCAGGCCCTCTCCATGCAAGTTCCCCCTGGCCCCCTCTCCTAGAGCAATGTGCCTCCAGATCAGCCCAGCTCAGCCTTTTGCGTTCAAAGCCTTGAGCCTGCCCTGTGCAGTCGGTGGGTTTGATGTCCTCCTCAGCATTTCAGCAATGGCACCGGGGGCAGGGGGCACACTGGGGGCTCACCCATCAAGGGTTGGTTTGTGCTTTCAATTTTAGCTCTGAAGCTGGTTTGGCAGCTCCAGGTGTCAAGCTGTGAAACAGAAGCCTCAGCATTAGAGACGTAATTGTGAAGCAATGTTATTCCCATTACTGTTCCTAGAGCATCTTATGATGTAGGGATAACACCCACATTTGAGATGAGGAATATCAGCACATGTGTCTAGAGAGGTGCTTCCTGGTGTATGACAGGTTGACACCCGCATTTATACAGTGCCTTTCATCCAGAAGGATCTCCAAGCACTTTACTAGCCAACACACAAACTCCAGGTTGGGCTGCAGCTGGGGCAGGGAACCCAGCATGGCGGGATGCTGGGGGTTCTCCCACCTGTTCCCATGCTGCTGGGGAGTTCCCTTCCACAGCACCCTTCCAGCACCTGGGAGGACCCTCACAATCTGAGCCTGTGCTGAAGGAGAAGCAAAGATTAGCTGAACTGAGAGGAAGACCTGAGCAAAGCAGAGATGAGGGCAGTCCTCATACCATCTCTCCAGGGAGTAGGAAGGGAGTGATGAGCACCAAATTAACCTTCCAGAACAATCGCTGCTTCTTCTGTTCATGATGATGGCAGTGAGGTCCCTGCAGTGGAGGAGCTCCCTGGGAGGAGACCCCTGGTCCGCGCCAGGCTCAGGAGCTGATGGCGCCTGCAACTGAGCCCTCTTGGTCAGCAGTCTTGGCAAGTCTCCCCTCACAAGTGCATTTTCCCCCGCTTTCTTAGCAGGAGAGCAGGAGAGATCCATCTGGGGTACATGCTTCAAAAGCAGCCTTCCCCAAACACCCTGTTCTCTCCCTGGGTCTGCCCTCCAGCCCAGCTAACATGAGGGATGATGTGGGGCACAGGACTTAGGCATGATAATTGTGCTTTAGTCTGGGCAACTGCTCTTTAATGAGACTCAGCTCTAACCCTAAGGGTTCTTTATATGGCAGAGCAATGGGGACACCTCTCTCTGCATGGACAGGATCAGCAGAGAAGCCACCATTTCATACTGCACAGAACAGAAAGAGAACATATACATATGTCTATATATATAGAAAATTTTCATTGCCATGGTCCCAGACAGCTGGTCCCAGGAATGTTCCTGTAGATTGTGCCACTTTCTTGCAGCTCATCCTCAACACTGATGGCCATGGCAGGTTCCCTGCCTACTGCAGCCCCATGGCCCATCAGCAACTATTCACCGTGTTCAGCTCCAGGGACAATTTTTTGGGAACAGCTGTTTTATGGCATACTCGTATGCACTCACAGAGTCCTGTCAGGAATTAAGCCCTCTGTATCCAAGAAATTGCTTACTTTATCTCTGAAATGCAGCTACCTCAATGGCGTAATATTGTAGCTGTTTAACTACATGATAGGCTGTTCAGGACAGCAAGTGTAAAACCAAAATTGAGATGGAACATTGCCCAAAAGAAAATTTGGCCAGCATATTTAGGCTGATGCAGCTCCTCTTAATGAAATAAAATTCCAATAGCTGCAAGAGGCCATGTCATTCATAATTGAATGTCTTTTCCAACATAAATGATTCTATGATTTTATATCAAAAAATGTATTCCAGATGTCTTCTCATTAAATGCATATCACTTTTCTTAAAAGATGATTGCAGAAGAAGACTTCATGTTCACAGATCCACCTTTCCACACTCAGCTTTTCTCCTATTATCCGTCATTACTGAAAAAGAACTGGACTTTTGAAGTCGGATCATAGATAAGGTAAATTAGTAGGTCTACACGGCTTGCTTTTTGACTGAGCAAACACAGAACAGTTTTCAATAGTTGGCAGTTTAATTCTATATTTTATTAAGGCCAAATTGTTATTTTTCTAAGTTGGTTTTGTTGGACAGGATTTTTTACTTCTCTAGGTACAAAACCACAAATATTTTCACCTAAGCTTAAATGAGGGGGAGGCTTATTTGGATGTATGGTCATTATTTACCAACACAGCCTGTTAGTGAGGAATTTTCTTCTCCTTCCTTTGCCATTCTTTCATTTCCCATTCCTAAAGCTCAACTGTCATACAAATTTCTTATTTGTGAGACGGATTATTGCAGAGCTTAGGGCTAAGTTCTGTTCCCACTTGTATTAGAATCAAAGCTAAGAAACTGAAACCCGAAAGAAATGTCAGATCTGAATCAGTATAACTCAGATCAATATCTGACTCAGCAAGACCTGCTGAGGTAGGAAGGACTCATCAGTTGAGTTAGTGGGTGCATCATTTCTTTGCACGATCTCGTTCTTCCTTTCACGTAGATTGCAATCAAGCAGAGAGTTTGGTAGTAGGTTCAAGTGTCTGCAGGCAGTCCTCACAAAGAAATGCTAGCTTTGTTTATAATTACCCATGGAATCCACATGCTCATATCCATGCTTTGATTTACCCCTTTGGAGGTTTAACAGTATGGCCATCTTGTGTTAAAAGGGCTCAGCATGTATGTAATGTTTAGTTCAATTTATATATTAATTTCCTGACTGAAGATAAATTCCCTTTCAAGTAGCCTGGCTTATATGCTCTAGAACTGTTCTTTCCTGAAGAAAAGCCACTATGGCTGTGCAGGATTTTCTGTACAGAGACAAAACTCATACTTTCATTTACCAAGTGACATGCCAAAATAATCAAGTGTGGCCTAAGGACTAAATTAAATGCCTCCTATAGAATTTCAAGGAATGTTAGAACCAGGAAACTAGCTGTTTAGTTATCATTAAAAGTATATATAAATATATATAAATATATATATACATAAGAAATCGTATCAACAATGAGGATGAACTGAGTGCCAAATATTCACCATCTGTATAAAGCTACACTTCACTAGAATTAAACTATTTTATGTAATTCTCTTTCTCATGCTTTTATGGTTCTTTTGATAAATTCTATTTAGTAGCATGCAGGATACCTAAATTGAATGTACAGTATGTTGTTTCATTGCTACAATAATTTCTCGCTTCTCAGTAATATCTTCTTTACCAGAATGTTATTTGTTACTTTGAAGACATATTTGAAAATTGTTTTATTATTGAGTTATTCTTTTTTCATGGTTCTCTACTCACCTCCAGCTGATTGTAAGAAAATGTGCTTCACTATTTTGCCCCATGGCTCTTTTATGAAGCTGCCTCTTTCAATTGGTTTATGTATTGTTTATGTTCATCTCCTGTAAATAATTCTGCAATTAAATTTTTTGAGAAAAAATAGAGTACACTCTTTATTACATTTTAAATTTTGCATTAGTTAAAATACAACATTTCCAATCAGATGATTTGTAGACAACACTAAATTATTACTCTAGACTTGTAGCCTGTGGTGTGTGAGGAAATTAATTTTTTTAAAAATAACTTTTATAGGATTTTAGCTGAATTCAAAGGAAAACGCATAAAATCTGAAGGAAATGGCAAATAACAGACTCAGCTATGCAATGCTATTGATGTGTTTTGATTTATAGTCATCAATACTATAGGTATAGAATATCATGTACTGCTTTTGAATCAGACCATTGTGTGTTATTAAAAGAAAGAATAATAGTCTCTTTTGCTTCTAAAACACCCATAACTGAAATATTTGTAAGCAGTCATTAGTGAGCAGAAGTAACTGAATGGATTTGTTTTGACAAGGTGAATCCTGGAGCATCTCTCTGTGTGTTTTTACTGTTTGCAACAGAATAGCCAAAAAGAACTTCTATCCTCCTTCATTTTTTTCAGCTCCTTCCAGGGCAGACAAGTCTCCTTCTGGGAATGGCTTTAGCAACTCAGCAGAAAATTTGATCAATACTTTGCCACATTTCTTGATTAGGAAAAAAGCATGGTAGGCACGAAACAAAGATGTGTGGAGTCCTTGAATCTAAACAAAGGAGGTTCCAGAAATACTATGACAAATATGACTTTGTTTGGCATACAAAAGAGCTTAATTACTTGAATCATTAGATTTTTACTGCTCATTTATTATATATACTATTGTAACACTTATAAGCTCTAGCTGTGGACCAAGACAACATTGTACATTTACAACATGAATATATTTCCCTTAACACAAAGAGTTTACAACCCAACCAATAGGTAAGAAACAACAGATAGGCAGACACAGGAGACAAACTGATGGAAAAAGTGAGATGCTACTAATTAAAATGAAGAGCAGCATCTCAGCATCCCATCAGTTGTCATTTGTTTTACAGACATCAGAAAAAGAGATGATAATGAAGTGGGTTGGAAGATACTCTCAGGGATGTCTTCCCATGAAGGGAGTGAATTCAAGAAAGAGGTTTGTTTGAAAATTTAACACAGAGATGGTGAATTTTGGTATCCTGAGTCAACTGGAGGTGGAAGCTGACATCTTATTTAATGAATGATGCTAGATCGGGAAAGGTCTTGACAGTAAGACCAACAAAATTCAACATTCAGTAATCTGCTGGCTCATTGCTTCTATGAAGGAATTTTCATCTTTAATACCTGTTGTGGAAGGCTCAAAATTTTTCAGCTATACATCAGCAGTTCTAATGAGAATGAAATTTAGGGTCATTAGAGCAACTTAGTGCTTGTTTTTGTCTGTCTCCTAACACTAGATGTTATGACATAGAGCATCACTCATTGCAGTTCTGTATTGTTATATTAGAACAAAAGTCTTGATCGCTTCCAGGCAAAATTTCAATAACCTTTTATCCTCTCTTAGCCTCCCTGAGTTTCCTAAAATAGGGTGATCCTTCCTGCAATCTGGAAAGGATCTCAGAACTAACAAGCAAGCTGTTTCTTGTACAACAGCTTCACAGATGGTTGCATGTCAGCCTTAGAATTATAGGCATACCCATATAAATAAGGACAGGCACCGCCGATGAACTAGTAAGGTCAAGTAAAGCTGGAGCATAGATGTGACATATTTTATTTCAATTGCTGAACCAAATAATCAGGTGCAGAATACATGCTCTGGAATTAGCATATTTATTCCAGTTGAACTACACAGACACTGACAGTGGGTTTGTGGAAGGCTGTTATTGTTTTAACTGCAGCAGCACAGCTGAAGTGTGAAAATTTTGAAATGTAGACAAGTACCTTACATAACCTATTGCAGCCCTATCACAATCCCTGACAGATTCTGCTGTGAATTTTTAAACAAGCAATTTATAAGTAGCTAGGGGATAATACTATGATAAAAATTCGGCAACAGAGGTTTGTCAACATCCTATCATGACAGTCAATTTAATTTTCTTCTCTAAGAGGATGTTTTTATCTAAGGAATTAGGTACAAAGAGTAAGCTGTGATAGATCTTCAATTCATTAAGGCCTTTGATACAGTTCCAGTGTAAAATTTTTATTTAAAATTAGGAAAATATTTTCTAAATAAAATTGTTGTAAAATTAAAACTGATGCAGCTGAAAACATTATTTTTAATATATATATATCCTTAACCCATTGTGAAATCCAAAGGCCTTTTGAAGTGTGAGAGAAAGGGACAATCTTAGAAAAATCTAACCTGCTCTCAGTACTAGTCAGAAATTTCATTGATAACTTTGATGTTTACTAAAAAATATAATATTCATCAACTTGAGACTGGTTACAGCTTCCATAGAGGATATGATCAAAATTCACAGTGATCCCCAAAAAACTGGACACACTTTCTAAATTCAATGTGATGTAATTCAGTGAAGAAAAAATGAAAAATGTTATACTGAAAGATGAGATCAAGCTCAGGTGTGACAGAATATCCCTTTGAGAAAAAGTAAAGCAAAGAAAATGTGGTCTATGGTTGATCACAAGCTAAAGGAGAGTCAACTTGATGCTAAATCAACACATGCTCTTAAGAAAAGGGGAAATCTAATAGTGAATGTATTAGCATATCATTAAATTAGTGTGGTTTAACAGATTATTGTGCTGTGTAATCATCCATGTATATGCAATCCTAAATTGTGGCACACACACATTATTGGACTTGACATTGCAAGTCAAGATAAAACAAATTACCCATAGAAGGAAGAAGGCATCCGATCTATAAAAATCAAACTTGTGTATCTGAGGTATGGCTCATTCTCCTCCATCCAGGCTGCTCAGTAGAAATCTCCATAGCCACTGCATTTTGCTCTATGTCAAGTGTCTAAGGACTTCCAACAAGCTGAACTACTGGCAAGCCTTGGGTGGAGATGGTGTTTGTCTCTGTCCAAGGTATGAACCACGTCAGGGCTGGGGCACAGGGTAGGATGCCTTTTGTGTGCTTGTCTTCTTGTTTAGGAACCAGACTGTCATGTTTGGGCAATGGTGGGATTCAGACTCTCTGAATCTTGCTGTCTTCAACTTAGCCACTTCCACCCACATCCTGTCTGAGATGGCAGAAATTACCCTCTGAATCTCAGACAAACACTCAAACACAAAATGTTAACAAGTGAGAGAGGGAGAAGCGTTTCAGAATTCCTAAAAGTTACACTGAATGACTGAGCACTGAGTCATGCCACTGAGAAAGTGGCAAGTCAGATGCCGGGGATATAGGGACATCTCCTGTATGCTACAGAGAGGTTCTTGTTTCACTCTGTTCAATACTGTTAAGATTTTCATTAGAGGATTAAATCCTAATTGAGAGGAATGGAGAAGCAGTGGAGAAAATTCAGAAGAAAGCAACAGGGATTGCAAAATATTAGAAAGAGTGACCTAAGTGTACAGAGTTCAGAAAATGAATCAAAAAAAGACTGACTTTTTTCAATACAAAGAAGTTGTTGTGAGCTATTAATGAAATTGATTCCCCAGTCCCTGGAAGGAGGTTATTGTCATCATAAGCATAAAAGTCCAACTTTTCTTTGTTTATTTGGATAAGGGTAGTGAATCCTGGTAAAAAACTATTTAGCTCAAGGACAAGGTAGCAAACATGCCCTATGAAGCCTTGCAGCTGTGATCTGCATGTCAGCGTTCCCTGGAGAGTCACAGGAACCACCATCCAGCATCCTGGCTGCACACATGCTCTGAAAGGGATGTGCCCAGACCACCACTACTTTCATCTTACTTGACATACAATCCTATTTATAAGCAACTGACCATTTAAGGGTGTAAAAGAGGTATTTACCTGCCAAAGCTGCAAGTGCTGCTCAGTGAGACGTTCCTCAGCTCTTCCCAGAAGGAGAAGCTGACCAGGCAGGTGGATTTGAGAGGACAGTGCCTTGGTTGGCCTCAGCACTTGGGGAGGTGAGTGCTCAGGATCATGGCTGAATCTCCACTTCTTCTCCTGTGTGTTATGGGTTTGTTAGCTCACAAAGGAACGAAGCTCGGCTGTTCTTGAATAAAAGGCCTTAATACTAAATAAGGGAATTGCAGAGAATTGGTGATACTGGCTAAGTCAGCAATGTTCTTTCCTCAGTGTGAGGTTCATATCCCTTTTTATTAGTATCAGGCATTGGGCTGCTTGAGGTGTTGCAGTTAAGGGAAAAAATCTAAAGGAAGTTTCTGGTCCACATGAGGAGTAATATCACCTCAGCCTTTACCACTGAATGAAAGCCCAGATCCTGACCAGGCATAGACATTATTAACCTGCTCACACAAAATCTCTTACAAAGTCTTTCTGGTTGTTAGGTGGCTTATGTATTCTTTGTGACCCACACTAACTCACCTGCATAGGTGTGAGCTATCAAAAACACAGAGGAGCTTGTCAGAAGGGCTGTGCACCAATCGTTGCCATAGTTGGTTTCCTCCTTGCAACTGAGCCTCATCACATTCACTGCAGAGCTTGGCACTAATATATTTGAGGAGGACAGGGCTTAGGTCAATGGAACGGAAAATAATGACAAATCAATTTAAATGCAGATCCTGGAGGAGTATATTATAATAGACTGCTTCAACAAATCTTAAAAGGAAATTAGCTTTGGTAAAAATCAAGGATTCAGTGTATTAAAAAGTGACATAAACCCAATCATAATAGAGGTGATTAATCAGTTTTGCCAGATAGGAAATAAATCATGAGTGAACAGTAAGGGAAGCAGATGAGTGTTATGCTTTGGGATTTGATATGTCAAAGTGAATTTTGTAAAATATTTATAAATTTATGAAGCACTGACAACATCTTAAGAAAAGCTGGTATTTAGAATTTTATGAATGTTTATATTTATATATTTGTATGAGTTTATGTGGCTTTGTATGTGTGTATGTATATATATACATATGCATATGTGTATATATAATATGTATGTATATATTTATCCATACAGAAATAAAAGAGGAGTAACTGTA